GGAATCCGGGTGTGAGAATCTCACTGTGATGTGGCGTGTTGGTTTTGATGTAAGTGTGCTAACAGTGTTGTTTTGATGGGTGTAGAAGCAGAATGGAGGAGCCAAGTTTCGACCACCCAAAACGACGACGTCGAAGCCGTCGTCTTCAGCGCAGGAAGAGATCGAAATAGAGATCGCGGAAGTGTTGTACGGCATGATGAGACAACCTCAGGGACCGTCGAAACAAGAAATCATCGCCAACGAATCCACCAAGTTTGATTCTAGAGAACCCAATAAATCCTCCACGGATGCCAAGTCACCGATCTCCAACCCCCAAAATTCTAGCTCTTCCGCGACACCCATGTCCGCTGTTGGTGCGTTTTTCTCAAGAAAATTAATTTTCTATTTTTTAGGTTTTTTTTAATTATTCTTTTGGGGTTTAACTTCGCAGCTCCGAAGAGGAAACGACCGCGACCTGTGAAGCACGAGGATGAGAATCCGTCAAGCTTGAGCGTTCGGAGCAGTCCCATTTCGTCAACGACGAAGGCTGAGAACGATCAGCCTTCAAAGGTGGAAACCTTTTCTTCTAATTTGGATAAGAACAACGTTGGGTCTGCTACTGAGGCGATCAATCTGGTGAATTCTCAAACGGTTCAGGCTATGCCGGAGCCGGTGAAGCCAGAGAGCAACGCGTCGTTGGAGTCTAAGCCGGTGACGGAGGAAGCGGAGAAGCAGAAAGATGTCGGGTTGAGTGAGGTGGTGGTGCCTCCTCAGTCTCCCAAGAAAGAATCTCCTAAGCGACAAGTAGCAGATGATGACCGTGAAGATGTGAAAGCGACTAAAGCGTGAGCAGCATCGACTTTTATTACTCTTTCTTTTTCGTTTTTTCTTTAATCATTCAGCTTTTTGTGTTGAGTTCGCGCTGAATGTGAATCCTGATCTTTCTTTATTGATTTTTGGTTCTTCAGGAATCCGTCTATATCCGAGAGTGAAAATCAGTGGGAGGAGAAGTTCCCGATAGATCTGATGGTGCTAATCGTTTTCTTCCTAATCTGTCTTTGATATTCCGTACTTTTTTTAATGATTGATTTTAATCGGTGGGATTTTTTTATTTTCAGGCGCCACCTCCACCACTGAGGTCTTCTCCGGATAGGGATGTGGAGAATAATTTGGTGGTTGACGCGGAAAAGGTAAGTGGGCCATGTCTTAGCCATTAGCCATGGACTCTTTTCGTATAAGAATCAGTACTTAAGTTGTCTGGTTTTGTTCAGGAAGTGATGGCTATAAAGGATGACGAGAAAGCACTGAGAATGAACAAGGAAGAAGCAATGGCTATAGAGATGGAGAAAGTGAAAGCAAAGGCCGAAGAAGCTGATTCTCAGAAAGCGGGAATTGTGCAGAAAGAAAGAAGAATTGACTTGCAGCTTGATTTGGAGAAAGCTGATAGGGTGGATCCTATTGGGAATGTCGGTAGTATGGTTACCAAGAAGCAGCAACATCAGAGGCAGCAGCAACAGCAGCAAATAAATTCAGAAAAAAATGGTACGTTCAATTTGAAGCTAACAATGCTTGTTATTCCTCTGTCTTTCTTCCCTCCCCTCTTTTTTTTTTTTTCCTGATCTCGGTACCTTACTTGGTGTCTTCTTCTTCCTTTTCCTCTTTCAGTTCAATCCAATTCTTTGCCTCTTCCAATGACTGTTCCCAGCTGGCCTGGCGGTCTTCCTCCCATGGGGTACGGCGAGAGATCAATTATTGTGTTCACTGTTGTTTTGGATATTTGTACTTTTGTGGAAATTTGTTATGATCCTCTTCTCATCTCATTTTTAGCAGATATATGACCCCTCTACAAGGAGTTGTATCCATGGATGGGACTACCGTGACATCTGCAGCTATACCAGTATGTGCCTTTTGGTTTCCCCTTGAAAACTTTTGAGTTTCAAACAATGTGAATTGAACTCTGTTAACACTTTTTTCTAAAATTTGCAGCCTCCCCATCTTCTTTTCAATCAGCCTCGGCCAAAAAGGTGTGCCACCCACTGCTACATTGCTCGGAATATATTGTATCACCAGCAAATTGCGAGGATGAATCCATTTTGGCCAGCAGCAGCAGGTTCTGCATCACTGTATGGGGCCAAGCCCAGCAATCTTAATGTTGTACCCTCCACAGAGCTACACGGTAATGTTCCTGACAGGGCTGCAAACTCTTCTCAGGACAAAGGGCACGGTATTTCCATGTTTCCAGGACATATGGGGAAGGACAAAGCCTCTCAGCCTGCCAATGTGGATAATTCATCAAGAAAGCAAATTTTGCTTCAGCAACCTTTACCCCCAGGAGCAGCACCTAGTAATATCTTGGTAGGTTTATCTCTGTCTTCTTCTAAAAATGTAATGGCTTTTGTCTCCCCCCTCCTTCTGTCTTTTTATTTTTTTTAAATTTATTTGTGCTTTGTCACAAATTTCAGCATGGCCCTGCTTTCATATTCCCACTGAATCAGCAGCAAGCAGCTGCTGCTGCGGCATCTGTTCGGCCTGGATCTGTGAAGTCTATGCCAGTTTCAAGCAATGGAACACCATCCAGTGTGTCCAATTCAGCCCCTCCAAATGCTTCTGTCACGGGTGCCACCGCCGCGCCAACAATGAGCTTCAGCTATCCACCAAATATGCCTGGCAATGAAACTCCGTACTTGGCCATTTTGCAAAATAATGCTTACTCATTTCCTATTCCAGCACATGTTGGTGGTCCCCCTGGGTACCGTGGAACTCCCCATGCCCAGGCTTTTCCATTCTTCAATGGCTCATTCTATTCTTCTCAGATGATACATCCTTCACAGATTCAGCAGCAGCAACTTCCTGCTCAGTCACAGCAAAATCAACAGGGCCATCAAAATACCAGTATGTCTAGTGGATCATCCTCTTCTCAGAAGCAGCATGCTCAGAATCAACAGAAGTCTAATAATAATGCTACTGGATCCAACGGGGTTGGAAGCTTGCAAGGTTTTCCTGTCTCCAAAAACCCACCATCACAGCCACTACAGTTGCAGCAGCAACCACAACAGAGACCGAATCATCACACTTCTCATCCAGCTCGCCAAATTGAGTATGAGATGGGCGGTGAAGATAGTCCATCCACTGCTGACAGTCGTCTCACTCGTGCTACCATGAATATTTATGGCCAAAATTTTGCAATGCCTATGCAGACGCCTAACTTCGCTCTAATGACACCTGCCTCAATTAGTGGTGCAGGTAACAATGGCAGTCACAGCGAGAAGAAGCAGCCCCAGCAGCACCCTGCTCCAAAGGCTGGAGGTGAAACAGCTCCTGCGTTTGCCATGTCATTTACATCCATCAATGGAGCTACTGGCGCCCCTGGTCTTGACCTCTCATCTATAGCACAAAATCATCCAATCATGCAGAGTAATCATAATTATCATATAATGGCAGCTGCACAAGCTGCCAGTGCCCAGTTGAAGAAAAGTTATCATGCCGCTGAGGAAGGGAAAAATGTTAATTCTTCTAATGTAGACGAAGAGAGAAAAGCAATGTCCGGGAAAATTCCAGCTACAATGGGGCAATCCATCGCATTCGGAAGACCAGACGTATCTGATCCTTCACTAGCGTCAATATCCGGTGGCGCCAATGTCATTGATACCTCTGGTCGTAACCTCAACCTCAGTTCTGCTTCTTCCCGGGCTTCTGCTTCTGTTATGCCTGCAGCCATCAGCACTAATGCAGCCAGTAATCAGCAACAAATGCAGCGAAATCAGCAGCAAATTCTTCAGCATCAGAAGCAGAACCAATTTGCAGCTGCAGCTGCTGCCACCGCTCGCAACAAGACCCCGTCAACAAGCAATGGCAATGTCTACTCTGATAATCTCCCTTCTACATCTTCAATGGCAACCAAGTTTCCTAATGCTGTATCGGCGTTTCCTCAGAGCCTTGTACAGAGCAATAGCGCCGTGGCTCATTCGCCTCAGTGGAAGAACAATGTAAGGGCAACAACCACTTCACAGTCACCACCATCCATGGCTTCAACTACACCAGCGTCGTCAGTCAAAAATCTTCCACAGCAGCAGGCTCGTTCCCAGCAACAACATACCCAAATATCTTTTGCAACAAATCCAAAGTCATCCACAGCACAAGTGCAATCTGCAAGTTCCACCCAGTCCCCATCTCCCCCAGTCATGGTTGGTTCTCCAACAACTTCATCAATGTCCAAAAATACTGGTAGCCCAAGGACGACTTCTGCTTCAACAGCCAGCAATAAGATAAGCCAAAGTTCTTCCTTATCCACTCAGCAAGCCAAGAACTCTGCTGTGCCGGCTCGAAAATCATCACCTGTTGGTGGCAGGAATTTGCCATCAATACTCAATGTCCCTCAGCTTACTCCCTCTTCCAACACTGGGAGTAAATCCCAATTGCCACAGCAGCAACAGAAGCAACAGCAGCAGCAAATAACAAAGCAAGCATTGCCACAGGCCCAGCTTTTCTTCTCAAATCCTTATGTGCATTCACAATCCAACAGTTCCACTTCCACCACCCCAGTTCCAAGTGGTTATTATCTTCAACGGCGTGGCCCCGAGCAGATGCAGCGACCAGGTTCTTCCGGAAACTCCCCTGCCGCAAACAATGTGAAAGGCAGCAATGCCTTGCCTACGCAGGGGCTTTTGCATCCCGCACAGTTTGCCGCAATGCAACCCGCTGGGAGCCACCCTCAGTTTGTTCCTACTGGCTTTTCTTATGCTCATGTTCATTCTGTGCCCTCAGTTCAAGTGAAGCCAGCGGAGCAGAAACAACCTGCGGGTGAGTAGAATATTGTGCTTTGGCTGCTGCACCCCTGTGCTTGCTTGCGGGGATCAAAGAAGAAAAAAAGTAAGGAGAGTGAATTGGCATATGATTTTGAAGTGAAAGATGGGTTCCTCTCGATGGTGGGGGAAAATGTTATTATGCTGATTCCGTTTTGAGCAGATGTGGCGAAAAGAGCTAGCTGGAGTAGATCACGGCCAACGAAGAAAGAGAATGAAATGGATTCCTCAATTTTGGATGTGGAAATCGACGAGACCATGGATGTGCCTGAAATGTGTTTAGTAATTTGTTTGTGCCCTTGTGTTTATAATCTGACAAGGTTGATGGTGAAGTCTAATCAAAAATTCGATTGGTTTTTTACAAGAATATGGTTTGATATGGTGGGAAAAAAGATGGAGGAAAGGAAGGGAAAGAACCACCTTTTCTTCTTTTGGGGATGTAATGGAGTTTAGCTACATGATGTTCTTTCTCCTCTTATATATTTTTTTTTTATTATTATTATTTTTGTCTTGTAGGGCTACTAGAGCAGTAAACATCTTTTTTTGACAAAGTCTATGGTGGAGAAGGATGAATATGTACGTGTCTGTCTGCCTGGCTGATCATATATTATGTCATAGTAACCCTCATTTTTATTTTTTAATTTATAGATGAAAACATGATTTCCGTCATCCCTGGCTATGAATGATGCCATCGCCTTTCTTTTCCCCCAAGTTGTATTGAAAAATGGAGTGGGCGGCGACACAAATTGCAATGAGTGAATGTAAAAAGCAATAGCAATAGCAATTTCAAATAATAGGGTGGGGGATATGTGAGGGAAGTGAAAATTGAATCCCAAGACTAGAAACATGTGAGGGAAGGGGGTAAATGGGATCACTAATGGTTGGTTGGTTGTTTGGTTGGTTTTAAGCAAGGATGGCGTGGTCCGGATCATGTGGTAAAAGATAGCCTCAACTCTCTGCTCTTTACTGTCACCATCGCACACGTGGCTCACGGATTTATAACAGATGTCTAACTATTCTCGTCATTATCTTATATAATATATAATATATATGATTTAAATAACGTGTGTGTTGGTGGTACTCGGTAGGGTAGCCTCTTTTTCCTTCCACGTAATAAGAGTAGACTGGTTTCCATGTTTGCCCTCCACCACGTCCCCACCACTTTGAGCACCAACACATTGCGGGTCCTGACATCCCACCTGTCACAATGTCTACAACTTTCCTCCTGTCTCTACGTAATACACGTGTATTCAATCTCTTCTCCTTTTCTTTTCATTTCTCAATTTTATTCATCTTCATCCCAACTCTAACTAATTATTAACAATACCAATTCATTATTAGATTTTCTCAGACCTTTCCACAAAATTTAATAGGTTTTCCTTCTTGTACAAATATGCAATCTGACTTTAACTTTGTTGCAGTTTATGAACCAGTTCAAATGCAAAAGATGAAGTTAGATAAATAGATAAACTGGACAGGGAAGGGAGTGAGAGTGACGAGGATTTGTTTTTAAATATCCCTTTTCACTCAACATAAAAAGATCTACTTCTTCCCTGTGCTGAAATGGCAGGAAAGAATTAATTTAAAACAAAAAAAAAGAACAATAAAAAGGGAGAAGTGCATGAATATTAGATAATGATAATAATATTATAGGAATTTGAGATTGAAAGCTTTATGGAGTGATTCATTTATTCAGTTATCTGTTTCTTTTTTGAGGGGCCAAAGATAAAGCATACAGATCTTCAGTTGGTTCCCTCTTGATAAACCGAAAAAGACAATATTTTGTGTCCTTTTCCGTTTCAGAGGGACCCATGAAAGGAATCAATTAATGGAATAAGCAAAAGTCCCCATGCCATGCCCCTCCCTCCATTACCAATATGTGAACACTGAAAGATAAGCCTCATCAACCTCTCCACACCTAAATTCAACTATATGACTTATCGCACCCTCCTGGCCCCACTCTATAAACTCTTTTTCTATTTTTTAATCATTATTTATGTTACTCCACCATATATAAACTCACTCTTTCTTCACTCAACTAACCTACAATTCTCCTCTTTCCTTCACATTTTCAAAACCCTAAATCTCCCAACTCATACTACTAATTTACATGAATCTACCTTTTCTTTTCGGTTGGGTATAGGAAACAGTTAACCATCAAATTTTTCTTAATTAATTTTCATCATTGTGTCACTACTACCTCGGAAAATTAATTCCAAGCTTTCTAGAAGTTCAACAGAAATTATTTTCTATATCCAGTGGTCTTCAGATTGTATCCATCTCTATCTTACATAATTTTCAAAACAACTTGCACGTATTTAATTTTCTCCATTATTAGGTACCTTCATTCAAAAAAAAAGTAAAATACACACCCATTCACTAGTTCATTAATTGTGTAACGTGTAACATCGGATAGGGATAAAATAGGAAACAAATAAATTGTCAGACAATATATAGTGACTTGCATTCCATTGCAAGGTTAGGATATCGGATTTGGAACCACTTCCAAGTTATGGTGCGTCCATAATCCCAGTTACCTGCATTACATCGCAAAACTTTTACCACATATTAGTTTTTTTCTCAGCAAACTATCATAAATTAATTAACAAAAATTACTTGCATTAATTAAGATCCCTTGACTTAAGTAGATACATTGAAGAACAGTTTTGGTTGTGAAATGGAGGGAAAAATGAATAGTTGGGTAAAAAGGGTATGCAGCAGTTATTGTTCCTTACACGAGTACTGGTTTTTGTGATGTAAGATGTTTGTCTCCATTTGTTGGATATCCATGGTGAGTGATGGAATGGATGATTAGTGAGGGGAAGAATAGACGTAAGGTGAAGAAAAAGTAATGGCAATGAAAAGGAAGAGTAGTGTGGTGTTTTTTTTTTTCCCTATTGATTGAAGTTAAAGAGCAAATAAATGAATAGTGTGTGTGAAAAGAAGGAGATTGCAGATATTAAATGGATGAAGGAAGATGATGGTAATATGTGTGGGGTAGGGCACAGCATAAACAATAAAGATGCGAGGCCTAATTGGAAGGTCCATGCATTTAAGGCTAAGAGGTGAGTCCACGTTGCAGGCATTGTCTCCATTAGGCGCGGGTGGAACTTTGAAAGTTTTTATTTTTATTTAAGAGAGTATGAGTGGACAAAGTAATGGGGTAAAGCTTTGCCAACAATGTCTGAAAAGGAAAGAAGAGAGGGCCAATTCACATGTGTTTTAGATAAATACTTGTCCTTTCTTTACTTGAGAAAGTGGAACAAGTAGCCTCTACAGTTACACTGTGTGTCTATGTGTGTGACACTCAATATCTCACTCATCTCGTATCACCCTGCTTAACTAAGTGTCGCAATAACTAATCATGTGCCTTGGACTTTTGAAATTCATTCGACAACAGTTTCAGAAACATAAAAAAAAAAAAAAAGGACTAATGACACAACAGTGAGAGGGGAAATGAAATGGGTAGAAAATGGTGGTGGGATCCTCCTTAACTTAATTAATACTTGGGTCCATGTTGGCTTTTAATAAGTAGTATTAATAATCGTAATAATAGTAATAATAATAATCGTAACTGAGAACAGATTCTTGACAAGATTTCATAGAGTGGCATAAATTGTGTTGGTAAGTGCCTTGAATTCAATAATATCTAAATTGTAGTTGACCACAGATGGAGGGCAGTTACTGAACATATCATCTTCAATTCAACCATTTTTTTTTCCTTTTTCCAATTATTTTTCCCTGTCCCTTTCCATCTCTCTCTCTCTCTCTCTCTCTCTCTCTCTCTCTCTATATATATATATATATATATATATATATATATATATACCCTCAACTTGCACCCAGAAAGAATGGTCAACATAGAGTACTAACCTTAGGGGACCCTTCCCTTACCTAAACCAATGGCTTCTACTGTTGAAAAGAGATATGAGTAAATGAATCTAGTACATCAATTGTAGGATGACAAAATAATTTTATAATTTCTAGATATATAAGTTCATTATTTTAATAATTAAATAACAATTGTTAACTTTAATTTTTTAAATATATATTTTTATGTTTGAATTACAAATATATATTTGTGAAATTAAATTATAAAAAACAACGCGACAGTCACACTGACTTCTTGAAATCAATGAAACCCAACAACAAAAATAGGAATGGGTATTAAATTGGTCAACTAAGTATGGATAATTTTAGTGCAAAATGTTGAAGCACTAGGCCTCGCAAGAAAGGAGAAAACTTGCAATTTTCCAAGTCCTGTTTTTCCCATGTTTATGCTGAAACCTTAATACTAAAAAAAATGGGCTTGACTATGGGAACTTGTGCTGAAACAGGCATCAAGAAAAAGGGAAACCAAAGACAGATTTTCCGACAGTCACTGGCAGAAGAAGTGGCAGAGGGGGGGAGAATCGCTCCAGGGATGTCTAAAATTCAGATCACCCACTATTTGCCGGATACAAAGTTGAAAACTTCAACGTTTAGAAACCAACCTCAAGTAAAAAAGATCAACCCTTTAAAGTACACCGTACATTTTATTTCCGTTCTGGAGCGTATGGCCTTGGCTGAAATGGGTAGATATTTTTAACGCTTGGAGTGAGCCTTGGATTCTGAAGATCAAACCAAACTAAACCCATGACAGTGTTTTTTCAAACTGTGCCAGAAGACTGATCCATTTGGAAACAGATTCAACACACGGCCGGTCGCTGTAACAAATCCAAAATGAAACCATATGAATCTACCTGTCCCTTCCCCTCTAGAAAGAATCACAAATTTGTGTTACAGTTCGAAGAGGGTACCTCTGAAGCGCCTTACCTGTGTTTCCTCTCTCCCATTGACACCAAAACAGAAACCATTAAATGCAAAGGTACAAATAATATCTGCAGTTTGAGGTAGGAGCAGCAAATGGAATTCCCTTTCACCACGATACACACCACAGAGAAGCAAAGAGAAAACAACTTTGTTACTTTCTGAGCTCTTCTTGCCCAGGTTCCAGGTGGGTCGAGTAAGAACCACACACATGATACGATGATTTTGATGCAACAGATCTTTTCACCTCTCTCTTTTTTTTCTTTTCTCTCTCTCTCTCTCTCTCTCTCTCTCTCTCTCTCTCTCTCTCTCTCTCTCTCTCTCTATATATATATATATATATATATATATATATATATATATATATATATATATATACACACACGTATATCTCCTTTGTGTATTTATATATGCATGGGAGAAAGGCACAAATTCCATCCATATCCATAGCATACAAGATTATGACCATTTTTTAAAAAGAAAAACAAAGGGTTTTATGCGAGTCATTGTATTTATTCCTTACACGTCTTTCCCTTGTTTAATTATATTTTTTTATTTGAGTTGTACATTTTTGTGAAGAAATTTATACTCTACTCTTTCTACATTTCGATGATGTGTATGTTGTCGGAGAAATCCACTTCTGCTATTTTAGCCAAAGTATATTCCATTTATTTTAAATCCCTAAATTTGAATTTGACTTGCTCACTGTTTACTCTTTCTTCGCTCATAGATCATGCATATATCACTTTCCTTCTTCCTTTAAAGATAGATTTTTCTTTTTCTCTTTTCAATTTCATTTTTAAAATTCTTTCTAAAACATGTCAACCTTGTCCTTCTATATAGTTTTATTTATTTGTTATCTCACTATGCATTTGATAAAGAGAAAGAAAATAGAGAAAAAGATGTAGGTAGATGAAAAAAAGAGCAAATATAATGATTTAATTAATAAGAGTCATAATCAAAATTAACTTTAAATATTTGTTTTTTTTTATTATTAGTAGTATTTATTTTGAAACCTATGATTAAATATGTTTTAAGTACATGACAATCCTCTGGACAAACATTGGATATTAACACATTTATGTTTTAATGCGTATATATTTGTTTTGAATCTTATACATTGATAACATTATATCTATTAAGCTATAATCACTTGTATTAGTAATTGTTTTATTTCATATTTTGTAGATAGTTCTGGTTGAAACAGAGTAAAATACTGCAAAAAACTTTTTCATAAAAAATAAAATAAAAATGCTTTGTCATTATACAAGAGAATAACTACTTATATCAAATCTAAATTGTTAAAGTGTTTATTCGTTCTGGACTTTATGGTAACGTTTCTCTTTTTCCTTTATTTTATTTTTCTTTTGAAATTAGATAAATTTTTATACATAAAATGGATGATTTGATGTTCTTGCTTAATTTAATTCTCACAAGATCCTATTGGTTGCTGTGATTGAAGAATCACTGGAGAAGATCTAATGGTCGACAAGTAAATTGGAATGAGATGCGAAGATAGTAGACTAGAAGCAGATTCTCTCCCATTTTCTTTTCTTCTCTTTCTCAGTTTTGTGCTTACAGAAGAAGATTCTTGAAGATGAACACATATATTAATACTTTTTTTTCGAATGTCTTGATTGACATCCAGTGATCTTCAATCACAATTTGTTATTTCAGTGATTTAACTATATTTTACTTCAAATGTTTATTGAAACTGTATATTTCATTTTAATAGAATTGATTGACATGATCATACAAAATTTTATTGCTTGGTGTCCTTGTTTTATGGTTTTATAGTTTTTTGTTTTCTTTAATATGGCATGGAAGGGACCCTACTTTAGCTGATATATTTGAATGTTTCTTTATTTAAAATTATCCAATGATGTTTGAATTATTTTAGTTTATACCTACCTTCTTTTGCATTCTTTTATATATTATCTGATTTCATGATTTTGATTCATCTGTATAATTTCTTTAATAGGGACTTTCTTATGCATAAAATTGTCACCAACGTTTAAAGAATATTAACAATTTGTATATATATATATATATATATATATATATATATATATATATATATATTAACACGTAATTTGTTTTTTTTTTTACACAAGTTTAAATTTTATTAATCCAGTGTATAATCTATTAAGTGACTTTTTTTATATAATCAATTATTTAATATACAATTCTAACTATATATTAACAGATTTTTATATTAATAATTAACATTGATATAGTTTATAAATACGTTTATTTATTTGTTGTTTTTTAAGATTTTTTTCTTTTTTTTTTTCATATTTAAACGATAGATATCATGGCTAGTTTGATGTATCAAAGTTTAGATCCAGTTATATAAAAAAAAAAAAAATAGTTTGAACTAAATAATAGATCAGCATTTAACTTGATTGAATATTAAATAAAATTTTTACTTAATCAAAATGTATATACAGTTTAAAATTGAATAGTAGAATACAACAAAAAAAAGCAACATGATACCAACGAATAGGGATTATAATTAAACTCGTAACTATGAGGGACCGATCCATTCCCGTTCAGAGTTTGATGGAGAAAATCCAAGTTGATCGAGAGCGAGGGTTCGGGTTTTCCTCGCTTTAAAAAGTCAGGCGAGGATAGGTAATGCAATCCTCACCCTACCCCAATCTCGTCCACGTCCCGACTTTATATTTAAATTTAAATTTTAAAATATTAATATTTTAAAAGCATTTTCTTTTCTTTTTTTATTATATATAAAGTCAATTTTTTATATTTCACCAATTTTTATTTTTCTTCTACCCATTTTTTAATTTTTTTATCTTTTTTAATCTTTTATATCAATTAATTTATTACATTATTTTCTCTCTTACCTTTCAGTTTTTCATATTTCCTTAATCTTTGCCATCAATTTGTTTTATTTTTCAATCAATTTGATGAACACAAAGTTAATTTTTTTATTCTTTATCTTTTTTTTAAATATTTTATAGTAGTAACTAATATTATTTTATTTATAATTTATATTTATTAGGTTTTATTATGTTATATTTTTTTATCTTATTATTTTTATTTATCATATATTAAATTTTATCTTAATAAAATAATTGTATTTGAAAAGATTAAAGAAATTGATAATTTAAACTTTTATTACTTTAAACTAATTGAATAAGAATTAACTTATTAAATATTTTCTTATAAACTATATATTTCATATTTTTAAATACCAACTTAAAAATTAATTAACTTATATATATATAATCAAATGTTTAAATATAGTACTATAATAATAATAATAATAATATAAGTATCCAAATATTTTAATACAGTGTTATAATAATAATAATAATATTATAAATAAAAATGATTAAATATTTCTTTTACATATATTTTAAAATAAATATAGTAAATTAAAATGTATATTTAATTATTAATAATTATAAATTATAAAATTATAAATATTTAGTTATATATAAAAAATAAATAATAAAATTAATTTATTATAAATATAATTATATTTTTAAAAATAATATAGATTAGAGAAAAAAGAAAAATGAAAAACTCGGAATCTAGCAAAAACAAAAATAAAGATTTAATTTTTATTTTCGATAAAGGCAAAACCCTGTTCTGCCCGTTACCATGCGTACAGGCAGCAAAGGAAAAAGAGTTTGGAAAAACCCAAAATAGTAGGACCCGTGTCCCAATTGATTTTTTATTTCCGTGCCTTGTGAAACTCAATATTGTGTTTGCCACCCCAAAATCCCGGCTATTGGGTCCCTCCACCGTATGTCTGCTCCTTTTCATCAAAGAAATAAACAAATAGATTGAAATAAAAATAGATAGATAATAAACTTTAAATTTTAATTATTTAATAGAGTATACATAAACAAGAATTTGGGAAGAAATATTTTTGTATAAAATATAAAAATACAGATATATAAAATTTCTCTCAGAATTTTTTTTTCTCTGTCATAAAAAGTTTCCTCCTTTTACCCAAAATATACTGTTATCACTTACATTTCGTTACACGTGTCCTTATCTGCTTTCCCTCCCACATTATTCACTTTTAGACCATAAGACATGAATTCTTTTATTCATAACTTAAATTAGTTATTTTCTCTCATTGAAAAATAATGTATTTATTAAAATAAGAAAAAAAAACAGTATTAAACACTAAGCAATGATAAGAGAATGATTAAGACGAATAACTCGTAACAAGTAACGATTAATACGAATGTTGAAGTTTTTAATGAAAGAGAGGGGGCAAATGTTGAATGTAGCGCTGCCCCACCATTTGATGGTGTCCCCAGCACTTGCCCAGGTGCCGACGCTCGATTACGGTGGTGGTAGGACCCACCACCAAATCCAGTCACGCTCACTCACTCTGAGTAATAATGTTTCATCGCAACCAAAATATTCATCGTTTGATGAGTAATAGAAAAAAATTAGAAATATTTTAGTATTTGAGTAAGATTATTTGATGATTATGATATTCATACATTTTATTAAAAAATCATGTAAAATTAATCTAAAAAACAATTTCAAATTAGTGTTTTTAAGTATGTAGATCCTTTTAAAATCTGTTAAAAAAAAGTGATTGAATATATCATTATATTTTATTGTTCTCTCTACAAAAACTTAAAAATCTTTATCAAATGTCACCAAAACAATTGTATTTTAATCAAATTGTGTATATTAAAAAAAATTCAAAATCGTATCTCAATAAACTTGTTTAACTAAAGATCAATAACCTGTGGCATTTAAGTTTTTTTATTAAAAAACAAATAACCCACCATTGGCATCAATAATGAATTTTCGGGTCATAATTACATTTTGATTTCAACAGTAAGAATAAAATTTATGTTTGTATGTGATAACATGATTTAATTATGAGTTACTAAGACTATAGTGGTCTGTAAAAGGAGACAAGTATGAGGTACCAAACACGCAAATACATATGACTCCTCAAACCTTTGTCTTACTTAAACCTCGTAATTTATACCAATCTCCATTCCGCCGCAAATATGACATGACAGTTTTAAGCAACTGGCAGGGAAAGTTTGAAATTACCAACTTTAAAATCCTTTTTTGATTCGCCACTTTAAAATCATTTATATACACATACATGTAATTTTGTCACTTCACATTCAACAAGATACTCATTCCACGACAACCACTCATATCAATCAAACAACATTTCGTATATATTATGCGTGAAATTTGACACCAGATAACCGATGTTTTTATAGTTTTTCTTTTAACTATAAAATATATTTTGTATTTTTAATATATTGAATTTTGTTTCTTCTGTTATTATTTTAGCAAATATTAATATATTGATTTTGGAAAATACAGCGTATAGCTGTTTTAGGTTTAAGAGATTGTAGCGTTTTGTAAGAATAAACAACTAAAAGATAATATATTTTTAATCTGGCAGATACTTAGATAATAAATAGATTTGAAATTATATGATTTTAGAAGATTATATAAAATTTATTTTCAAGTCGATTTTGAAAAGAACATTTAAAAAACTACATAAAAATAATCCAAATCAAGCATGTACTAAATAATTGGATATCAGTAATTAAAGACAAAAACCAAACAAACATTATGACTTACCTCTCACAAATTTGAACAGAGTCACATGCTTTAAGTTACTTGTAAAACTACAAACACATTTATGTGCATGAAATCAACCACAAACACTCTTAAGTGCAAATGCATGAAATACAAACACAATAAATGTTTGGGCCTTTTACATGGTCCTCGTGCATGTCCAATTATATTTCGGAAAGTTGGGTCGTGTGGTACACTTTCTCCTTATTTCTGTATTTGAGCATAAACAAAATTTGGCACTGTAAACTTGTAAGCTTTGACTACAACCCCAATTTACAGCACACCCACCAACTCCAAAAAGAAAAAGTTTCATAAGCCTATTATGAGGGTAATTACTAATCACAAGATATATTTTATATGTCTGGAAGATCATTATTCTGTATAGGTACTATGGGGAGATATTAAATCTTGGATCTTGCCAATAATAATAATATTTAGTTTACTGGTGGATCTTGTTTTTAACTAATACTAATAATTGTGATGCAAGTCTGATATTGCATTGGTGATTGTTTCAGACATAATTTTATGGGTGAAATATTTGATCTACTCAATTCTCTCTTTACACAATGTATGAGATAGTGCATCCAACACCTCAACTTCTGAAGGTCCAAACTATGAAACCAAACCAGCACCTTTTTTTTAATTATAATAACAATAGTAGCAGTTATCTTGAACTAAAATAGAGGGTCTTGTCTTGGGTTGCTTTAATAATTGGGCATTGTCTCAATTGAACACAGTTCTCAAAAAGAACACGTGGTTTCAAAATTCTACAAGTGAATAAAGATAATGTTTTTTTTTTTTTGTGTGTGTGCAAATAATCTCCACCACTGATACTGAAGTTGTGTATGGACCAAGAGATTTGAATTACATTTAAAACCAAAGTGTACGACTATTGTAACATTTGATTACTGTGTTTTTAATTATTATGATATAATCAATCAAGCCATAATCTGATCTGCATCACGTGAACACAAATTTCAATATGCTATGCTGACTTGGATTGCTTCTTAAGTACTACTATTTACCTGCGGCGAATAAATATATACTCTACTCTTATGAATATTTAAACTATAATTAAGAATTGAATGGGTTATTATCATTATCACGATGAACATTAATATATTCTCTAATGCTTCGATTCTCATCATGTAAACAGAAACATTTTTTTTTTACTGGGAGGGCTTTGAGAACTTGACGACAAACCTTCACGTCATCATCAATATTTACTGTTGTGGTTGACAAATAATAATCATCCTAATTTTCAGGAGACACAACACGCCAAAAGGAAAGTTAAAAGTTTTAATATTATATTAAATAAAAACACGGGTAAAAGGTTCTATGGTATGCACTATACAAAAAGCAAATATATTAGAGCCAAACTAATTGATCTTATATTGTTAAGTTTAAGAAACATTAAGTTTATTGTGATGAGGGACGGTGGAATCTTAATTAAGAAAAAAAAAAAAAACGTGGCTGAATGAGTTGAACAATAATAGATCCTCTCATCTCTTAAACGGTTTATTCTTCTGTTTTATTGGTTGGCATGTAACAAAGAAACCAGGACGCAACAGCCCGAAAACTCAGAAGGCCCAAAGAAGAAGCAGTACACTAAACAAAGCCCAACTACAGAGTTCAGGAAAGCAGACGGGCTGCACCTTGCTGAGATCTAAGCCCGAAGGGTGAAGGGAAGAGTAGTTCTGTCATATTCTATTGATCAGGCCCAACTAAACCAAACTGGACCAGTCCAAACACTACAATTTTTTTCTCTTTTTTCAATCATTCTTTCGCAAGAAAATAATAAAATTTAGTTTGAAGAGAATTCAATTTGATACGAAGCTTAATTTGGTATGAGTTTTAAAAAATAATTTTAATAAAAGGGTAAATTTTGTCATATTTCCAGTTTTGCTATCAGTGCGAAATTAATTTGTTTATATTGAAAAGCAGTTCAATTCAACTAAAAGCATAATTTTATTTGAATTCGAGAAAATAGTTAACCAAACAAAAAAGAAATAGTTTAATTCAATTTGAAAAATATTTTTTTTCAATCTTCACAAGTTGTTTGCTTTGATTTTAATTCACCTAAACATGTAAAATTGACATAAACTTTATTCATGTTCCTCCTTACAGATAGATTGATTAACTTGAGTTTGTTTTCACTACAAAGAATTAGTAACGCGAAGGTATGCCCTAAAAATTGGTACACATCTTCAACCCCAATACAATAATATATGGCCTAAAAAGTGAAGTAATCGTTGAATCAACCCCAATGATATATAAGCGTCAAAGTTTTTAATTGTTGAAAAATCCGAATGTGATTATCGTGGGGACGTCCCTGGGTCCGGCATCCTTTTCTGTTTATCCTTTATTAATATATGTCTGTTTATTAATTTTAAAAAGTAATCTCATTATTTTAGTAAATATATTATATTTATTCCAATTATTCTCTCGATGAACAGTCCAAAATTCATTAAGATTATTGAAATTTATGTTAGGACACATTAGGAAAAAAGTAATAACTAATACTATATTGTAAACTTAGAACAAATTACAAATATTATAGTTACAGATAATTTAAAATAAATAAAGTATTAAATTAATAACAAATAAAGATTTGCACGAGAAATAGTTAAAGGAAGTCCTGATCAAGTTATTTCAATTTTATAATTTCTTTTTTTAATAACAATGAGAAAAATTATGGAATTAAAATAAAAAAGAAAACATACAGTATTAAAATAATAAATAATAATAAATAAAAAAACCATTACAATTTTTTTACCATAAAATATTTTTGTTTAATAGGATGTCATCAGATACTTGACAATTTACTCTGTAGACGGCTCATAGTTTTTTTTTTTCTTTTCTTCTTTTTAAATTTACCTATAAGCTATTTCAGAAATAAGGCAGTTTTTTTATTAATTTTTTAACTTTTATTATAGTTTGAGTCATTTTTTTTATTGGTAATTTTTTTCTGATATATATATATATAATTTAGAAAAAATAAAATAAAATAAATAAAAATCATTCAACTAATTATCATGAAATATATTACAATTATGTTTTTGATATATTTCTAATTCATGAAGTTTACCAGATTTAATCTTAATTTTTATAAAATAATTTCATTATTTTTTTTATCATTATAAAATTTGCAAAAAAAAATATATATATATATATATATATATATATATATATATATATAATATGTCAATTTTAGTTTCTATTTGTGTACTTCTTTTCTTTATTGCTTTTATCCTTTTAAAACATTAAATCACTAGTTTTAGTTTATTATTTTTAATGAAAAATAAATATTTAGTTTTCCAATATTAAGAAAAATAATAAAAATAAAAAATCAAAGAAAAAAATTTTAGAATAAAAAAATAAAGACTAAATTTAAGCCTAAAATTATTTCATATCATGACTCTATAAACCGTTAAATTAATTTAGATTAACTATTTAGTAACTCTGAACACTGATATAATATCTATCATAAAAACAAACATGTAAAAATAAGAAAGTCTCTAATTTAAAACAAAATAAAAATTAAATCTTTATTTCTCTTGATATATATATATATATATATAAGAGATAGATAACAAATATATTTATTAATTTATTAGTAATAATTTTTTTAATAGTATTAGCATTACAAACTTAAACTGGTAACATTTTTAAAAAATATGTACAAAGTATTTCCTTATGACTATATTCTCCTAAAAATTGTTAACATTTTTTTTAAATAACAAAAATATATTGAATAAGAATAAGAGTTACCTATTTTTTTTATTTTGAAAACAAGAAATTTGTGTTGATAATACTCTACCTACCTATAAATATAAATTTGAATTATATAAATCAAAATAAATATTACTGTTTATAAATTTATTACTTTTTTTCATCAATTAAATTATTTTAAAATAAAGCAACTATAAGAATTTTTTTTACAAGCTTTTATATATATATATATATATATATATTTCCATATTTATATTACAATCAAAATTAGACAAGGAAATTATTGTATAAAAATAAATATATAGTCTAAAATACTTATAAATATATTTAAAATTAAAAAAATTATATTATTAATATTTAATATTTTTATATCATCCATCATAATTTATCTATCCTAAAGTTATCCCAATTTTCTCTTTAAAAGAGGAGAATAATAAAGGGAGAGGGGGTCTCACTTTTTCCTGCGTGGCAGCCCCTGGCTCACACAAGCCCCACGCCCTAACCTACCATATCCACCCTCTCATCACCTCACTACCCAGGGCCAGTCTTCACATCTCTTTCACGCGCCCATCTCCAAATCACTCTCCCGGCACCTTCACCCACTCTCTTTTCCTACACGCTGACCCCTTCCGTCTCCTATTCCACTCTGCACCTTGCCCACATAACTAGCGGTCCCTCTCCAGCCCTCACTCCCCCCCGGGGGAGCCACCTCCAACCACCCTCACCAACCGACCCAACTACGCTCTCAGCAACTCACCATCAGCCCTAGCCCTCCCGCGGCTGCATCTCCTCCAGTGTGATTCACATCACCACTTCCAGCTTCCACCACCCACCACGGGTCTCGGCCGTACCGTATCATCCCCATCTCCTTCACTCGAACTCTAGTGTGAGCCGCGTCTTCCCAATCTCCGTGGTAGCCATCACGAGCGAATTGACTTTTGAATCCTAATCCGGTTTTCTTAGACCTTGTCTTATACATTTCCTTCACTTCTTAATTTCTTCGTTTTATACTATCATTTGCTTTTAATTTCTGCATATTTTTAATTATTTCCATCAGCATGCCCTGCCTTTGCATATTGCATCATCTACTGCGTTGAAGAACATTTAAAATAAAGCCCCTTTTCTGTGTTTTATTTATTGTATTTTTATTATTATGTTATTGTTGATGTTCCTATTTCTTGTGTCTGGTAGTTTGTATACTAGGTGCATGACAAGGACTTGAGTTCAGCCCCGAAAGAAAGGAAAAAATCATCTAGGAGAAAGGAAAAGACTATTTAAAAAATTAAATTAAATGAAATCTTATTTTATTATACAAATAAATGATAGAAGATATATACAACTTAAACTTTTTTTTTTAGGAAATATAATAATTCTATTTTATTTATATCCTTTAATTTATGAGATTATTTCTAATTGTTGAAATACGTACACATTACAAATTTCTTAATTTATTCTTTTTTAAAATTCTATTTAATTTCTCATCATTATCTTTTTTAAAATTCTATTTAATTTCTCATCATTATCTGAATAGCTGTTTTCCATTCCTAGCTTTGATTTTCTTGTGTATTATTAACTTAATCTATTCAAAATGGATGCTTTTCATTTATGCATTAGGGAAATGAACTATTAATCCTTTAGGCTGCACCTAATTGCATAATGGTGTTGTGTTCTCAAAGCCAGCTGAAATTAACCTTCTAGAGTTTCTTTCTTGGTTTCTTGTGCTATCGATCTGAATTATTGTAGCAGTCTATATTTGATTCCTAACTGTAACTCACTATAGTGGGGTAGCAGAGCGGTCCAGGCTGCTATGGGATTCAAATAGGGGAGTGGTTTTCAATAGCTGTGATACATGAAGTGATAAAAGAATAAAGTATTACTGCATACCAATGATAAAATCGGATTACTTTCTAACCTAGTTTAAATGGTTTTATTTTTGGATGCATCTCCTTGCAGTTTATGATTTTTAAAGCACACCCTTACTACATATGGTCTTTTGATGAGTGCCAGATATGATTAAAAGCATGCTAGATATGGATAGGTGGGTCTACGAAACAGTGAAGGGAGTAAAGAAATTTAGAGGCAAATATTTTCGTTCTTTCCATTCATTCAAATACATACATTATAGATAGGGGCATCACTCGCAAGTGACTTCACAGCTGGCCCTTTAAGGAAACACAAGAGTCTAATAAGCGGCTACTATATTTATTCCAGCCCATAGTAGTCCTTAGCCCAGTAGGGCTTGATTAACATGAGTTTGGGCCTTTTCAGGACTTGAGCTGTCGGCCCATCATCACCCCACCCAATTTTGTGAGTTTTCAATTGAGCATTGGTATTCCAGTGCTTTTGAAAAAGATCTCTTGTATCTTGTGGTCTGATGTTGTTGATTTGTCTTTTTTTTTTTCTACCATTATCACTCTATTTACTATTTGTTTTAAGTTTTCAAATATTGGTGTATTTAAAAAAATTTAAAATCTTTAATGGAGTCACAGACTATTGATGAAGCTGAAGATGAGTGGAGCCAGCACAATGCAAAGAAACTTATTGATACAAGTCAAAAGGGATTGCGTAATTCAATTCCCAAGAACTTTCCATATTTCCACGTTGAATTTGGTTTAAACAAGGGTTTTGTCCATGTTATTGATGATGAAAAGCAGTTTAATGGCAGCCTTGGCTTGAATGTGGTAAGAGGCATGCTACATTTGGCAGAAGAGGACATGTACAGGCGACGACGCTACGAGGCCATCGAGGTACAAAAGCAAGCAGTTGCAAGCTTTTCCAAAGAGTGGAATCATTTTGACTGGACAAAACAGCTTAATGAAACTTCCTAACAAACGTTTTACAAATTAGGGTACTTTGATTTAAGGATTTAGTTAATCTACATTCTAATGTACGTGGCATGCAGTAAGTGATAATGATTGTGGCGGTGCTATCCACTCCTATCCTTTCAAGAAAAAAAAATGTTAAATATTGTTTAGTTGTTATTCTTGTATTGTAGATTGTATTATCGAATTAACAGCATGTGAAAAATAAGCATTTTGTATTTATATATCCCAACTAGTTGGGTAGATACATTACTGCTCAAGGCATCCTAAAATCCAAAGCATAAGAAGTGTACAACTTAATTGGATTTTCAGTACAAATTTTGATTTTTGAGAATTAAGAACCACATACAAAGCAAACAAAGATGCATGCTATCCTTCACCAACTACTACACCTGTACAACCTAAAAATGCGTAATATCGCATGAACAAATTACTTCTGTAAAAATGTGCCGCAGGATACCTTTTCCTAAGAATCTAATTTAAAACTCATTTGGCTATCTAATGGGAATTTACACTTTCATGTGTTATCAAGAGAAATCTAGACCGGAGCTCAGACTTCAGAGACAAAGAATTGGACCCACCTGCAGCTTCCAACTGCTTTTGAAGTTCTTGGCCTATTGCAAGGTGCAAAACAATGTAAGAGTAAGAACATAAACACTGCTTGTCACAATTAGATGATTTATTATTAAATTCACCATTCAATAAGATATAAAGAACACTCGGTGAGGTGAGTTATGTAACCCCTTTACAGATTACATTTATTAATTCTAATTTATTATCTAAGTTAGTAATATTTTCAATATTCATAGAAGGTTAATAGAAAATATACTAAGTGAACAATTAATTTAGGTAAGGTTTTATATTAAATCAAGCAACAAGTTCTAATACAAAGTTTTTAAAATATTACAAGTCATAAAGTTATACTTATATGTTATACAATTCCCATCCTAAGCTCTGGATTTTTGCATCCGACATCTATCTCTTGAATTATGTATTCCTGCATCATACGTCACCAACATCTCGGAATTGAAATATTTATGGGGTTAGACATTTAATTTTATCCACAACAAATAAAGCAAACATTCATACGATAAAATCAATCAATGAAAAATTCCTTCTAATAAATATACAACCGTATATAATTTAATTTAAAAATTAATTATGAGAAACAAATAAATAAATCATGGAATCATAATAGAGAATATCGTACAAATCATGAATAATTTACAATTTTATCATGCAATATGTTTATGATATGCACATGTGACTCCAAACGTAAAACTTTAAAATCATGCTTTTGACTCAAAATAAAAAAATTATTTTTGACTCGAGTGCTCCATGGAGACTCATTTGAGTGTCTAGTGAAACCGGAGCTTAACATCACCTCGTCCGGTGATTCGGCAATGTCCCACTAAACGCGAACAAGTAGACAGTAGTCGAGTGTCGGTGCACCGGCAGCTACCACGGCACGAGAATCAAATAAAGACCGGCCACTTATGGAATTGCCCATGCCCAAACACTCCCTAGACCAGAGGTCCATCCCCATAGACCGGAGGTCCTGTCTTACCTATTCTACTCCCCCATTTACTATCGGAGATTCCGGTAGCTCAATTTTTAATAATTCATTCTCTGTCTCATTTGGCCGACCATTTTCATAGTCATATTTCACTACCGGATACTCTTGATAGTAAATTGACTCACAGAAAATGTAAAAATTCTGTTTTACACATCATTATTCCTACCAACCAGTCCTTGGTAGCAACTTAAGAGAAATTTCCAAATACTTTTACGTAAAAACTTTTACTGTGACTTCCGGAAACATTTCATGCACTATGTTTATGTCTCGTATGAAACAAAACAATCTATCATCAATTAAATACTTAAAAACATCTCCTTCATATATTTAAAATTTTAATTACAATTCATAGTTGTTTTAAGCAAGACAAATTTTATTAATAATTTATTTCATAGGGTTCAGTGTTTTGTCCATATCTTGAGTTCTAGACCTCATTTTAAGATGATTCCAATTGTGTTGGAAAGATAACATAATAATCTATAACTTTGATGAAGGCACTATCCTCAAATTCTAACGTTTATTGAGTCGTTTTCCTAGTAAACAAAGAGGGGTAATATACTTATTTGACTTTATCTCGATTTTACCCTTGATCTTTTGCAAAAATTCTCACCTAGTCCTTTCTTCTTCCTTCTCTCGCTCAAGCGAATACACCGGTCGTTTGAGCGAGATGGAACCCGAGAGTCCCCTTTTTTTGAAGACTTCGTCGCTCAAGCGAGTACATCGGTCGCTTGAGCGAGTAATGACCCGAGAGTCCCCTTTGTTTGAAGCTTTCATCGCTCGAGCGAGTACACTTGTCGCTTGAGCGAGACATGACCCTTAGTCCCCTTTGTTTGAAGCTTTCGTCGCTCGAGCGAGTACACTTGTCGCTTGAGCGAGACATGACCGATTAGTCCCCTTTGTTTGAAGCTTTCGTCGCTCGAGCGAGTACACTTGTCGCATGAGCGAGACATGACCGTTAGTCGCTCAAGCAATGTAATTATCGCTTGAGCGATAAAGAACCCGAGAATCCCAAATTTTCCAGGTATCCTCGCTCAAGCGACATATTTTTCGCTTGAGCGAGTTTTGCGAATTTTCATCGGTTCGCCATTTTCGAAATCCAAGTTTCAAATTTCTCGGTTTCAATCACTCAAATTTGTTCCAAATCAAAATTAAACCATAAATATGTTCAATTTAAGTTAAAAACAACAATTTTATTATATAATTCATCCTTAATTGAAAGAAATTCAACAATATTTCAATCTTTGCAATTGATGAATAGTAATCTCCAATTACGAGACATTCGTATCAATAAAACTAAACGTCTAACCCATACTCGATTCCTCGATATCTTATTACTCTCCTAATTTTGTATGCTCCTCCTTTCCTCCTTTCTCTCTCGGTTTATTCTTCAAGTTGGTCGTGAATTGTGTTGGTGTATGTTTCCAGTTTTCTCCTATTTATAAACTTACTCATCGAGCTTAATTCTTTCTAGGATTTTCTTCATTTGTCTTTATTCTTCACCGCCTTAATTTAATTCCGATTCTTCACCGAGCTTAATTCAAATGTATTTAGGCCACTACCAGACCTTACTGTTTCTCTCTTTTTTTTTTTTTTTTAATATTTATTTACTCATTTATTTAATTTTTTTATTATTAAGAATTATTATTAAATTATTATTTGACACAATATTAACCTTGGATTTTATTTTATAATTTTCTTAAGACAAAATTACTATAAAAATCATGTTTTATTTTTATAATAACTCTACATAATATTCGGTACATATTTATAACTTACAAAACTTATTTATATAATTGATTACAAAATTTAGGATATTACAATTCTCCCTACTAAATAAAATTTCGTCCTCGAAATTTGTAATACATTCTATGTGAATAGATAAGGGTATTCACTTCTCATTTTCTCTTCCAGTTCCCATGTAGTGTCGCCTCTAACATCATCCCGGATAACCTTAACTAGTGGAATATCTTTTCCTCTTAGATGCTTAATCCTTCTTTGTTCTATCTTAACAGGACTTGGTTCAAAGGTGAGGTTTTCCTTCACCTGTACTTGATCAAGTTCTAGGACATGTGTTGGATCTGAAATGTACTTTCTTAATTGTGACACATGGAATACATCATGAAGATTTGAGAGAAAAGGTGGTAAGGCTATCCGGTATGCAACATTTCCAACCCGTTTTGTAATTTGATAAGGCCCGATATATTTAGGGGAAAGTTTCTTAGATTTAATAGCTACGCCAATTCCAGTAATAGGTGTAACTTTCAAAAATACATGATCTCCTTCTTGAAATTCTAAAGGTTTCCTTCTTCTATCAGCATAACTTTTACATCGACTTTGAGCGGTTCTCATCTTATCTTGAATTATTTTTACCTTATTCGTTGTTTGTTGGATTATATCCGGTCCTATTAATAAATTTTCACCGATCCCGATACCAAACTAAAGGTGTCCTACACTTACGCCCATAAAGTGCTTCATAAGGGGCCATACCTATACTAGAGTGATAACTATTATTATATGTAAATTCTACTAGGGGTAAAATTTCATCCCAACTAAATTTTTCTTCTAATACACAAGCCCTTAAAAGATCTTCTAATGATTGGATGGTTCTTTCGATCGCCCATCGATTTGAGGATGATAGGTTGAACCGAGATGCAATTTACTTCCTAAAGCTTTTTGGAATTCTTTCCAGAATCTAGATACAAATGCGGGATCTCTATCTGAAACTATACTAGTTGGTACACCATGTAGTCTAACAATTTCTTTGATATATAATAATGCTAATTTATCTAAAGAGTACTTAATATTAATGGAAATGAAATGAGCGAGTTTTTGTTAATCTATCCACAATCACCCAAATAGAATTGAAATTTCTAGAAGTTTTGGGTAAACCCATCACAAAATCCATGGATACACTATCCCATTTCCAAACTGGAATTTCTAATGGTTGTAACATGCCAGAGGGTTTTTGATGTTCTATTTTAATTTTCTGACATGTTAAGCAACGAGCAACATATTACGCTACGTCCTTCTTCATTCCAGGCCACCAAAACATTTCTTTCAAATCCTTATACATTTTAGTAATTCCAGGATGTATACTTAATTTACTTTTATGTCCTTCTTCTAAAATTAAGTTCTTAATTTCTTTATTATCTGGCACACATACTCTATGTTTAAATCTTAATATATCATCCATTCCTAGATTAAAATCTCCGACTTTATCGAGTCCCTATTAATTTTTTCTTTTCTAATATAAACTCATCATCTCCTTGTTTGTCTCTTATTTTATATAAGAACTCATTATTAATAGAAATCATTCCTAATTGTATTCTATCATTTTCGCTAATAGTGTATAAATTTAAATCTCTAAATTGTTCTATCAATTCCATCTCTTTAATCATCATAGTTGAAACATGAACAGTTTTCCTACTTA